CCAATGTTACCTACGTACCAGTGGCCATCAGTCTTCGGAACAAATTTAAAAGCTATAGAAGCGCAACAGGCACTGAGGCTAATGCGATATTCTTTGCATACGTCTTCTAAATAAAAATCTATTGAAACTTGTTCAAGGAAACATTTTTTATACTTTTTAAATAATAATTTTCCGCTTTCCTTCGCGCAATTGCAGCCAAATTTCCAGCATGCAACGTACACAGCTTCTAATTAAAAATACAGTATTTTCCTAAACAATGCAAAAATTCCTTTGAAAGTATGTTGTAGACAAAAGCTCGCTTTATCATGCTGCACACTTGCCAAGATAAAAAAGCAGTCATTGTGAAGGCATGGGGCGAATTTCATTACGACTACCTGCGTGCCATGACACGTAGACTTGCCAAGATTTTTTGCGCCGCGTGGAAGCCAAAGAGACAATTTTGAAATACGAGAACTGAGCTGTATCTGTAATCGAATTATGTGTGCGCCAAATTCGTCGTTTATAGGTACTTCCTTTCTCATTTTGTATGAAAAAGTATTAGGCTCCCAGACTTTTGACGCACCCTGTAGTATTTCCAGAAGCGGTCTAGCTTATTGCACTGCCAACGAGAGGAAGATTGCTTTTTTGCCATGAGTGCCGATTCGATGGTGTATAGCACTTATACAGTTCAACAATGTGTATACCATATGTGTATCGTCCAGTTGTCAACAGCACGGGCTGGATGTAGAGAGTCCGCGCAGCGCGCTGAGATATATCTCATTCACTGCAGAGTAGTAATCGCATAAAAGTGAGCTACAAGGACTTAGAGTGCTTGTAAACTATACGCTTGGTCATGTTATCGTATCAGTCAGACATCCAATCTTTCGAATGATATTCGAAAATTGAATGCTATCCGAAAGTCGAATGATATTCGATATTTGAATGATATCTGATATTCGAATATTCGAAATTTTCAATTTTCGAATATAATTCGATAGTCGACTATTCGAAACTTTCGATTTTGAATATTATTCGATAGTCGAATACTCGAAAAAAATTTCGAATTTCCCCAAGTATAGTTTCTACCATGCCTTTGGCGATTTTTCACAATCTTCACTCTCGACTTTTGGAAGAGCTCTGAAAGACAGATAGAGTAAACAAAGTGCAACGCAATGCAATTTTTTTCAACTTTTAACTGGCTTCTCTGTATTTCTTGTAATTAATCCGCAAAATACACAAACACCAACAAATTTTCGAATTTTGAAACTTTCATAAGTGGGTCATGATTATCCATTATTTTTTGCAAAATAACTGAGCGGTTACCGCTTTGAAATATCAAATTCCGCATTTTACATATACAACCTGGTACGGGTTCTCAACGTTATGAAGTTTCATCACCAAAAACTTGCAAATGTGAGCAAAAACACACGTTAGTAAGAGGGGGAAAAGCTGCATCGGAATGACATTCAGTTGTGCGCAGTTCTGTGTTCTATGGCTCGTGGTATCAAAAAAAGTGGAATTTGATAGCATCAGAAAAAAAGTTTCAAAAAGTTTCAAGGTCAGCTGTAGATGCCGAAAAATTGCATTGCGTTGCACTTTGTTTACTCCATCTTACTGCTATCAAAGCCTTTCCAAAAGTTCAAAATAAAAATTGTGAGTAATTGCCAAATTTGGATATATTATTAGGTTGTAAAGAAAGTTCCCAGGCACTTTTGGAAATTTCATTTTCAATCGCAAATTTTCGGCACTCGGTCGGACTTTGACATCAAGCTTTTTATACTGTTCAGTAGAGAGAAGCCTAAAGTTTTCAACACGGCTTCTGATTTTTATCGACGCCAAGGCGTGTTTTATTTGCACATCAAGAAGAAAAATTTTCCAACCATAAAAATTCCACAATTTTTCTTACTACGGCCATTTTTTGTATTCAAAAATTTCGTCCAGATCATGGGTGATCTGATTGAAAAGCCTGTTAACTTCCGACCCGTAGCCGCACTCGAGTTTTGCAATTTGCGCTTAAAAATTACAAGCTGTCGGACATGCCTAAGACTGCAACTTTTTTCGTAGCTGGTGTCGCTTCTGCGGGGATCCCACGCCTAGATGAAGGATGTAAAAGATAAGGCATTACCCCAACAATGTTCGCAGTAATCAAAGACTTGGTCCACCCTATGCAGAACGACAAGAACTCACTTACTCGAAAATGGTGCGCATTTTTAGGGGCAAAAAATGATCGATTTCTCAAACTTTCTGGAAAACTTTTTTTGCATGTGGTCGCTCAAAGGCTTATTAGTCTCCATAATAGCCCCTGAGACTTCTGTATAACTACAGCATCTGAGCTCTCCAGCTTTCACTGTGCCTGAGATAGTCCTGCACAAATAGGCCACTTTTCCAACGACCTTTTTCCCTTCTGCGCATGCTGGTGGACCGCAGTGAGGTGCTGCAAAACCAGCAAGACAAAAATATATCAACAAAATTACATTTGTAATGAAGTGAGTCAAAAAAGACAATCTGTTTGGAGTTACAGCGATTTGAAAAAAAATTTCGCAAGTGCCCGAGAACTTTCTTTACGACATAAAAACTATGGGCTCGAAATTTCGGGAATTATCTCCCATGAAAGGAAATGGTCTCAAAACATGACTGTTGGAGAAAGAAAAATTGCGTCTGATAATGCTTAAAGCATTTGCCTGCCTTTATTTCACGTGTTATTATAAAAGGTTGTAAAAATGGAAAGAACTTTTGGAACGACCTAATACATATTCAGTTTTGCAGATAAGTAATGTGTAGTAATCCCCCATAGATAACGGTTTGTAAAACTCCCATTCATCTCAGTTGACCTGAGATGATCATTCAAAAACTCTTAGGTTGACCGCCCATCTTCCCGTGCTTTGAGTTGAACAGTCAGAAGACCGTCCGATCAAATGTCATGATCAGCTTAACAGAATGCCACGCAGTCGAAGGTGGACCTAGACTGAACCGAGGGAAAATTAGTGCAAAAGAGGAGTCAAACTTATCGTAAGTTGCCCGTGAGTAACTTATGGGGCAATCCAGTTGACGTACTTCCAAAATTGCACAATTTTAGGGACTTAAATGGGAAAGAATCAATGAACAGTTGACTGGCAGCGAGGAAATAGAAAAAAGTGCTTTCTGTTCTTTTTTGCAAATGATGCTCTTTTTCTCATTAAACTGCCGTCATCGATTTTTTAGTAGGGGCCGCTATCAAAGACTGAGTGGCGATGCAGCAAAAATGCGTCGACGGTCCCGAACCACGGCCGTGCACCTTGAACACCAATCAAATACCCGTTCGGGTACGGGTCAGGAGTCACAATTTTTCGCGAGACGCCGCAACGCGACGTCAAGCAGTACAAGACTCAGCTTCCGTCAGTACTCCTGTCGTAATGTTACTTATGCCATCGAGTCCTGTATCTGCCGCCACCCCCCACTCCTACTGTGGCGCCGTGCCACTTCAGCACCGGATGCTTATTGTGAGGTACAAAATTTGGGCGCGGCGAGCTGCCACCACGCGCAGTGTGACTCCTGACCCGGAGCCTAGCCGTTTGACCAAACCTACTCAAGTATTGGGTTGTCAAGAAAATAATGTCGGTTTTTATTTGCTGCTTTGACAAAGCAACCAGACTTAACCTAACAAACGATAGAAAGTACTGTTCGATAGAACAAACCCAGCTCTACAAGATGACATTTGTGATTTTGCGCCAAGCTCGATCCACGGAGAGTTCGAGCTCAAAATCTAAAGATTTCCAAAGGCCCAGAAGACCGAAAAAAATCAGATTTTCATCCGAATAATTTCTACGGACCTCACACTCGCACACATCAGTACTCTCGATATCTGTTATCCATACGTGCAGTTGCTGCACTTTTTCTCTAACTAGAAGCTGAGAAAACGAAAATTTTCGTGATCTTCTCAAAGCAATGCTGAGCCGTTCCTGAATATGTAATTCTATACTACAAGTTCTAGGTAAACATAACTGTAAATTTTTAACCCATTCCAAGCTATAGTCTTCGAAAAATATTGAATTCAGCTTTTTCCTTCACAGTTTCATGGCTAAAATCGACATTTCTTGAAAACTGTCGCTATAGGCTCGAAATAGGCTGAAAATCTACAGCTATGCTTATCCGGGCTTGTAGTATTGAACTACATATTCAGGAACGGCTCAGCACTGCTTTGAGAAGATCACGGAAATTTTTGTTTTCTCAATTTCTAGTCAAGGAAAAAATACGGCAACTGCACGTATAGATAACAGACGTCGAAAGTATTGATGTGGCGAGTGTGAGGTTCGTAGAAATTATTTGAACGAAAATCTGATTTTTTTCGGTTTTTTGGGCCTTTGGAAATGTTTAGATTTTGAGCTCGAACTCTTCGTGGATCGAGCTTGGCTCAAAATTACAAATGCCATCTTGTAGAGCTGGCTTTCATCTATCGAACAGTATTTGTTCGTTGTTGGGTTGAGTCTGATTGCTTTGTTAAAGCAAGCAAATAAAAACTGACATTATTTTCTTGACAATCTAATAGGTCTATTGTTGAGAACACCCACGATTATCATTTCTAGAAAATGATCCGCATCCAGATCGATAACTTACTGAATGTCAAACTGAGGCGCTCTACGTCCAACAAAATCCCGCTCCCAGCCGAGTTCCACTGAACAGGGGTTTATCACTAAGGGCCAATGTTTTATAGGCACCTTTTCATATAACGTTTAGCAGTAAAAGATGCAGCGTGTCGCAATAAAGCAATTTCAAGGTTTACTGTTCAACTGATAAGCAGGCGCAATATTGTCACACGTGCTACTGTGCTCATTCCATTGGTGATTGAACGCTCCATCGTTTTGTTCTGTTTTCAATTTATCGAGGAGAAGTTTATAACTATGCGCTTCCAAAAGTTTCAGTTCTCAGTTTGATGTTTCTTTTTTCAAATTTTCCAGCCCATGCTGCAATCATAAAAACACCGACTATTTTTCAGGTAATAACGATTGCTGCATATTCTGCATATTCCGTGCAAGTTATTCACTATGAAGGAACGCGACAGTGCTTGGTTTCATGCATTTACAATACTAAGTTTACTTCTACCAGCGCAACTGGACAACTGCCCAACCATGGGTATGTCAGCGTATATACTCGTAACTATCTCCTCAGGGTTGGACTACGAAGGATTCGTAGCACTGCTAACGTTTTACTCTAAAGTAAGTTGGATTTCCAATAAAGTTGAGCTGTAATGATTTATTCTTAAAAATCAGTAGAGCTAGTAGTGATGACTCATTGTGCTATATGCAGTCTGGAACCATCTCGGAAGAAAATTGAAGTCATAGTTAGTTTCGGATTCATGTGACGTAGTATTATCCAAAATCTACAAGGCATCCAGCAACTTCATACATTGACAGAAAAACTGGAAATTCTTGAATCAACCTTAAAATCGAACGAGCTAGTTAAAACTGAATTAGCGTAGATGGATTTTGTACTTGAAGATTCAACAAAAATCAACATCACTTAACCACTAACGATCTTAATCTCTGCATCCGAACAAATAGCCCCACCTTGAGCGATCTTGTTAACTGGCTGGCAAACCCCGCTCCGCCAGGCTCCATCAATATTATTTTTGTAATCAGCATGCTCACTTACCTCTATGCCAATTCCCAGTTTCATATGTGAAATTTTGTCTAAAATCGACAAAATCATTTCATCAATGATGAAAGTAGCCTACGATACCTGCCCCTTCCCGAAGTATGTGTGTGCAAGTTTGGTCCGGATCCCTTCAAATGTATTCGGAACATTTGTGCAGGAGACAAGCAGACAAACCTTCAGCTTTATTGATAAACTAGCTTGCTTAGCCGGCTCCGCTCGGCCCTGCCAAACCCTGTAATAAACGTCCTACCCCTATCCCCAGCCTTTTCCTGTGCCCACTTCTACACTTCATTTCCCGTTCCCTGTGTTGTTTTCGAAATCATCATGCCCACTTACTCTCCTGTGCCAACTCCCAGCCCTGTAGCTCAAATTTTGCAAAAAATCGATAATATCGATGAAAGCATTCAATAATCTTGAAGACTAATATTGTATGCGTAATCAGCATGCTCGATTACCTCCCTGTGCCAAATCCCAGCCCCGTGTGAACTCTGCAAAAAAATAGATAAAAATCGATAAAATCGACATCGATCGATACGAAAAGAAGCCTATGACACGCTCCCTGTCTCGAAGTGTATGTGTGCCAAGTTTGGTCCGGATCGGTTCAGAAATAAAAATTTCTATTCCGCACATACGTACAGACATACAGACAGACAGACATTCAGTTTTGTAAGAAGATATAAGAGATTGAAGAGATTGAAGAGATTGAAGATTGAAGAGCGCTTATGCGCACAGCAATGGTCAGAAAAGTGCTCTATGTTGCATCTATATGAGAAGTTTTGATGTGTGCCGTTCCTTACAAGCAGATAAACGTCTGAGGGTACCCTCGATTGTCAAGGTCATGACCCGCTGGAAAGTAAAGTAGAAAGTATCGAAAAAAATTGAAGTTGAATTAAATTCTGTCGTCATGCGCAAAACTATTCCGGCAGCCCGCTAGTTGTCATTTTACGATCTGCCGAAAAGTTTGATGTTCCAGACATGTATCTTCTACTGATTACTATGTTCATTATCTGCTGTGCGACTTTCTGAACGAAGTTATGGACTTTTTTTCAAATTGATTTTGCGAGATTTAGGCAATCAAAATCGTCAGTATCAGGCTTTTTAGACTTTGTATCGGACAGTTTTCCTGAGCTTAACGTGAAGTTATACTTTATCTATACGCTTTTGTAGTGCGTAAGCTAAAATCTGACGATATTGGTGAAACCTGCATCAAAAAACAGTGCAAATTTTGGTGACAAAAAATGTTCATAACTTCTTTCGGAAGAGCGCACAGCAGATAATGAGAACAGATTTGGAATCAGCGCTTCAAGATGCATTTTATGGTTACGTTTCAATTTAAAAGGCCAGGGTCGCAAAATATCCTTTCTTTGTTAGATAAACTTTTCGAGTAAAGGCCAAATAAATTCTAAATTATATTTGCTGTAGTTTGAGCTTATTCATTGCTCAATTCAATTTGACGCTGAAGAATGTTGAACAATTTTCAAGTATCTTTAGCGATAGTTACGGCTAAACACATGCAAAAAATTGGTTAGATTGCTAAAGATCATCGAATAATTTGATAACGTGCGTCGGCCCCAGCCGAGCGTCAGAATGGTTTCCATTTTGTCCACCTTCTCTTGGTCAATGTAAAGGCGATATAATAAAAAATCTGATCACTACCACTAGACGTTTTTGTACAAGGTGTCCCAAAAGTCTTTGAGCCTAAGTTTCCGACGTAATAAATAAATTCGTTAGTATTCCTCACTTTTCAGTCAGATTTTGCGTATGAAGACTTCGTCTAGCTCTAAGTATTCCTCAAGAAAATCGTACGGTCTGCACTGTACATTCTCAAAATATTGTTTTTGGAGCAAACATTACTACGAGTTCGTGGACAAACCAATGTTAGCATACCCTTTACTCAAACATCTATAGCTCTTTTGCCTTTGAAGCTCTTGCGGAATCTTGAATTGCTAAGAGCTAGCTTCACTTTACGTCTACAGTGCAAAACTAATCGGTAGTCCTTATCTATTGATGAAGGATTAAGATACACTCAAACACTCAAAGTAGTGCCGTGTCAATTGAAAGAAAAAGTTCTCGGAAACAAAAAGAAAGGAAGGGAAAGCTGAAAATCCAACACCAATTCAGTTTGAATCAGTAATTCTAGCTGTAAGCTCTGCTTTTCTGCTGGAATACCACTTTAAAGTCTTTTCATGCACACAAAAATTGCTGTTTTCTTGATGTTCTCAAGAACTTGATTGCTACATTTTGACACTTTTATTGAATCGCACAGATGTGCTTCTCAAATAAACGTGATTTTGATCGGCGGCTCAACAGTCTTTAACTTCGCTTTGTGATCAGCCATGGAAAGCAAGGCTTGCCCTGTTCCACATCAAATTTTGGGCAGTCTGGAACGCTTGCTTCAGAAGGTGTGAGACATTCTCGACGTCCACATCTGTCTGCCATGGTGCATGCGTTGGGCAAGAGCGTGAGGGCTTGTGTGAAGGCCAACTAAGGGTTTTTCGAAATCTGAGTGTACCTAATTATTTTGTGGGTTCTTCACAAGATTCCTGCTAAATTTCGTGTGATAATGTTGCTTCGTATAGTTACAGCTGAGGAAATACTAGGCTTAAAGGCAGCGTACACCCAAAATTTCACCTTCGATGTTTTTGTCATTCTGGTACCTTTCCGTGCCGCTGATTACAGTTATATCATTGAAATCCCCAAAAGTCCCAAAAACCCCGATTTCCGGGGACCTTTTCTTCAGGGGGGACGAGTTTCGAACCGCTCGTCCCCGTCGGCATGCCAGCAGCTGCAACAGCATGAGAGCCTGCAGTTGCAACTGCAACTGCTGCATATGCTGTCGTGGTTCGTCGCCCGAAGGAGGCGCACCGCAAAAAGCAACTGCACTGTTGCAACTGCAGTTGCAGATGCAACAGCATTGCAACAGCAACTGCAACGGCAACTGAAGCTTACGCTGTCGTGGATTCGTCCGGAGGAGGCGGTGTGAAAGAAAAGGGGCCGGGTGAAAGAAAATTGAGGGGGTTTTCTCCGCTCAGAAGCAACATTGGGAGACTGGACCAACGCAGTTGGTCTTCTTCTGGGCCCAGTATATACACGGTATAGAAAGATCTAGGAAATTCGGTAACACAGATTTTGGTGTACGCTGCCTTTAAAGACTTTTGGGACACCCTGTATGAGCAAACACCGTAGAACTCAATGTCTTGTAACGGTTTATACCAGAAGGATCCTTGTAAGAAAGATAGCTCTGGATGGAAGAAGTCCTCTGCAGAACAACTACAAATTCGGTATCGCATCATTTTTGCCTTGGTAGCTTTCGTAAGACGTCTTGGTCAAACTCTTGAGAAGCTTTTCTCATCTCGCAAAGTCCTTAGAATAACGCTTAAGGCAACTAACTCTTCTTGCGTATTCTCTCAAAATTAACTTCAAGGTGGCATTCAAATCAGTCCACGATTTCAAGCTTTCAAGTTAAGAGAATCGTAGATTAGCAGAATACAAGTACTACGGACCCAGCTTTATTGTTCGCCTTGTGAATTCGCACGACATGCAATATTTGAGAAGACTTTGCAATGGTCCCGCTCGGCTCTGTGCATGTTGAATCTATGCGCCGGTAGGGCCTTGATTTTTGTGCACGTTGCGAGAAAAAAATCGATCCAGGAGCTTTGCTTAATCTCTACTTAATAATTTCGTGGTAGACAGATTTGCTACAGGCTCAAAAGACAAAGGGCGTTATCATCAAGCTTTGATAGACTAGATAGTTACAATGATTTCTACCAATGCGAAGCGGGAAGCGAATGACGTAAGATCTTATATTCCTCTCCGCTGGCAATCAGAATATTGCTGGAAAGAGCTGTTAGTAATTTTGAGTCTAAATGTTATGATTTTTTTGCTTATGGTCATTAGGTGATTCTGTTACCAAACAGTGTTTACCGTAGTAGATAAATACGAACTGACTATTCGAGCAAAATATGACTTCTCAAGTGTCACTTGTATGCCTAAGAGTACAGTGGAGACGGCGCAAGTGTGTACAGAAGTAAATTTGACAGTAGTAATTGTAAGTAAATTTTTGATGCAAACAAACCAATTTTTTCTTTAATTTTACTGTCGTATACTACCTCTTCTCTTCTTCCTTCTTGCGTCTGCTTCAGAATGCATCGCGACGCTCATGTGGAGCGCGTAGTGTATTTATCTTTTTTCTTGGCCGCCTGTCTTTATGACACCGCATCTTCCTTGCTGAAAACGTAAATGCTTTATCGCCAATTTTTACTTGATTGAAATTACTCGATAATGACTGACGAGCTTTCATTTTGTATTAAAGATATAAACAAGAAAAATCAAAACTGATAGGAGGGCCGGTAAATTTCCGCGGAAAATAGTGTTGGTAACCGCCTTAGCTTATTCATAGGGAAGCGAAACTCAGCCCAATCAATCAGCTCAGAAAAATCGTTAACGAGCATAGTTTAAACATAAGGTGCTTTGAGTTCCATGTATGTATAGATGGATAGATGTATCATTGATGGTCTCTATAACTTATACCCAAAACTTTATTATCCTTCACGCAATGCTCTCACCTATTTCAGCTTGTGCCTGATCATGAGTCAATAAGGTACAAGTTTAACTTTGGAACAAATCGTTCTGCAACCATTGAGACCGCGAATCTCGAACAAGAAATTCAATCGTGGATAGACGACCAAGAACAGATGGAGGCGTTCTGGAAAAGTGCGAGAACAAATAGTTCCGATTTTATACAATTTGACAATCCCGAGGCACCATTGTGCGCTGTGATCAGAAGCTTCTCCGATATTGTACGTATCTCATATTGGCTCCTATCATACTGACTGTTCTTACCCTTCCAGATTGCGAACGACAATGAGCATCCCGCAACCGTCGCTCAGAAAAAGCAAGTAGTACTCATGACCGATTATTTACCAGTGAATGTCACAGCAGCTATGAATACATCTACAAACGTGAATTAAAAGCTTTTTTCTCGTAAAATTGCGAGCATCTTCTATCTTCAGGAAAATGAGCAAAAGCTTGCACTGGTGCATGAGCTGAATGTCTCCGAGTTTACGCGGTTCGTCAACTTTCCCGTTTATTCAGCAACTGAAGACATTAACATGGAAGAAGCAAAGCAAGCCTTTCAAAATGCATTGGAGTTCGGTTAGTGCTTAATTAGTGCTTAATGTGCCATTATATATTTCTGAAAATAAAGAACTTTAGTGTTTCCTCAGGCGATATACCAAGGAAAACCGAACTGGCGCGACTATCTTTTCATGATGGAATTTGATGCTGAAACAGTTATGACTTCTTTGAAAAATGCTGTGGCTGGGGATTTGTGTTTCCTCACAAACAACAAGATGTTCAGAGAATATCTTCTAGTGCATTTTGCTTATGCCAACGCCGTTAGAAGTATGAATAAGCCCGTAAGAATTTTTGACGTACTTAATACTTTTATTTGCATTCCAGATCTCACTCTACCATTTATTGGGCATCGCACTATTGCCTTTGCTCAACAATGCCTAGAGAGCATAGAAACGATGTGTGGGTTTGTAGAGTTTTGCGGATAAATTATTATGAGACACTAAACGTTGGTTGACTATTGACTGGTGCAAGATTAAATGTGCAGGATGGCGTTGAAATAAATTGACATTCATAAGTCAAGCATATGTTTCGATAGAACAAATCCAGCTTCTTCAGGATGGCTTTGAAATGTATGCACAGAGGGAAAACGTAAAGCTTGAAGCGATAATTAAAAAAAAATTCAAACACCTTCGAGTTTTGTTCGAAAGTATCCTACACCCCCCCCCCCCTCCCGCCAACTTGCTCAAGAGCTACACTTGCCAAAGCAGATGTTCTCAAGTGGATATCAAGAAAGGGCGATCAACTTCAATTTTTTGTGCATTTTTGCCTACCCTGCTAAAGGCTAAGTTTAAGCAACTGTCCACGTAAATGTCTGATATGGTGAGTTACAGGGCTTTACAACCTGAGTGTCACAGCCGCCCCGCTCGGCCGCCACGCTTAGGTCCGCGCAGCGTTCGTGGCGCTGGCTGCGCGTCGACTGAAGCTTCTTAGACATTCGCAGTTAAGTCCCGCCGGTGAAAAAGTTGTGTCCCGCCGGAATGACTGCGGGACACAAGTAAAATGGTTCGCGAGAAAACCGGGACTCCCGGTTTTCGTTCGGGATAATGCGGCGCGACACGCGGTTTTGTCCCGACATGTTTTCTACTGAGAAAACCGGGAGTCCGGTTTTTTCGCGATTCGGTCACCGGCGGGACTCCCGCTCCAGACTGCAGTCTCCTGCGGGAGACGCGATATAGCAGCGACCCGATCAGCTTCCGGCTGGGTTTTTTTCTAGATGCTTCTCCTTCAAAAATTTGTACTACACATCTTACAAAGGTGCTGTGCTCGACACAGAGTTCAGAAACACTCTTTATTAGCATTCGTGACAGAAAAAGAACATTGAAATCATTATAACTAAGTGAACAGAAAAAAACAGGAATGTCGAGATCAATGTGTGAAATCGAATCCATAATTGAAATCGACTTCATATTTTCGATCTCTTCGTCTTGTTCATGTTCCGACTCATTCGCGTGCTCGTGCGCCAAAGAATCTTGCGTTGTAATGGGGCAAAAACGTTTTTTCTGGAAAAGAGTAACAATCTAACACTGATTTGAGAAATCATATCTGAATATTACCGAGGGTGGCGACAGCATCTCCTTATCAGCATCGAAATGGTAGGCGCGCACGTCACCTCTGAACTTCAAATTCAATAGATTCGTGAAGACTATCTTTGAAAGAAACCCACAAAGCTCTTCCTATAGCCATTCGTGCTAATCCATTAAGCTTCATTCCCGCCTCCGACAACCTGTCAAACGTCTTCGTCCTAGCCTCATCGTCGTTCCCTAGGCCCAGCCAAAATTTAAATCAATGAGATATCAAGGGGTAGAAACACTTCTATCTATACCTATTTGACTGCCGCGCGCATTCGGTAGCACTCATCAGCAGTTCTTCTGCGTATAGGCCAACACCATCAAGAACGAAATCTAGAAGATCTATTTCAGAATTTTTAGAAAGACCATCAATTACTCACTTATCAAAAATGTGACCAGACTTTCGGGCAGGTCTTGCAGATGCGGAAATCTTCCCCTTATTGTCTGCACGCAAACTTTTGGATTTCTTATTTTGGTTCGCATGTCTAAGTGCGCCTCTCTTCAGGATAGACTCAAAATTTTAGTCTCACTTACATGCAAAAAATAGAACCTATAAAAATCCATCATTAACAAAAAATGGTCATTTTTGTGTGCCCTTGATGGCTGCGTCCAGTTCTCGAATAACTCGATCATGTTAGCATTCTGAAACAAAATTAAGTGCTGCTGTATCGATAACAACTACAATAAGTAACCTTGAATGGAGGAAATCCGTTGAATTTCAACGACTTCGTATAACTTCGTTGCCTTTCGCTATGTAATATGACGCTTTCCGTAATTGCTTGCCATGTTCTTGCTGATTGGAGAGAATTGCGTCTATCTAAAGAACTGCATTTCACCCTCCGTTCTGAATCTACCTTACTTACAGTCAGACTTAGTCCAGCTATGATATTGCTTTGCTCTTTTATGATTCCAGCTAGTTCTCACGACTGAGTCAAACCAACTTTTCGATGTTCTAACCCAAAACACAGCATTGAAAGTTCAACAAGGAATAATTTGAGCCGCGATAGGTATGAATACGATTGTTGGTATTAAGGTCGACAGCGAGAGCACAGACTATGATGTGGAGAGAAAAGGATGAAAGAAACAGGTGGATAATAGCCCACCATCCTTTTTGGCGTTCGACTGCGTGTGTATGCATACGCAACTGCACAAAACAATAAGGATTGCGCAACCCTACGACCTATGCATTGAAAACCAACTTTTCGATGTTCTAACCCAAAACACAGCATTGAAAGTTCAACAAGGAATAATTCAAGCCGCGATAGGTATGAATACGATTGTTGGTATTAAGGTCGACAGCGAGAGCACAGACTATGAAGTGGAGAGAAAAGGATGAAAGAGAAAGATGGATAGTAATAGTTAACCATCCTTTTGGCGTTCGATTGCGTGTGTATGCATACGCAATTGCACAAAACAACGAGTGTTGCGCCAATCTACGTCCTATGCATCGAAAACCAACTCGAAAACAAAACGAAAACCAAACGAAAACCAATCGAAAACAAAACAAACAGCCTGTGTGGAAATAGGAATGAATCGATACTGACGCGCAATAGCGTCACAGTCGATGATCGCGACTCCCGGTAATCTCCCGCCACTTTTTAACTAAACCGGGAGTCGCGCAAGACTCCCGGTTTTCTCGCGAAATCTCATCTTGTGGGCGATCTCCGGCGGGACTTAACTGCGAATGTCTGAGTTGGCAAAATGCCTGGGCGATACGCCGCAAACGCCGCGCGCGGCTTGAGCGAGGCGGCCGCGTTGGAGGAGCCGCGCAAGCGGAGGCTGTGACTCTTATGTTGAAAAGCCCTGTACATGCGTGAGCAAATCAGAGGTCCATAGATATATTTTTAGATTTAGTTCCGATGTTTTAGTACTTGAGATTTGGCTTCATACGAGTCAATCTTTCCACAAACTTTTAAGGCCATGAAAACTGTTTTTCTCATCAAGAAGAATGTTTTTACATTTTCATTCATTCTGCCACGTTAGCATGAAGAACATGCATGCTTTTAGCTGCTGTCATCAACTTCGTAGCCAAAACAAAACATGGTTTTATTATTCAAAACATCTGAACATGAAGCGCAATTCCAAAGCATAATGATTTATGAGTAGTTGAAGAAAAAAGTAGAGAATACTTTACTTAACTCACTGTGCTGAAGATCCTTATCAGTCAAGGCTGCAACGACGCCTTCTGTAAAAGCAGAAGTGTGTCCCGGATTGTCATATTACTCTTGACTGCCCCTCTCGCCCATTGTCGCGCAGTTGATTGGTGATACAAGCAAACAGTTTTAAAACGGCAGAGAGAGTAATTTTCAATCACTCAATAACTTTATCTCAATGGCACCTAGCTGCAACACTTGGCACTACTGCAGGAATGCAGCTTACCCATAAACACCAATAAATCTTTAACAGGGTAGAAGTAAAAGCTGCTGAGTGAAAGTTTCATAAAGAAGAGAAGAAATTAAGCAAACGAGCAAACGTTTTGCTGAACGACGATCACTCTTGTATTGCGTTATAGGCAGTGTCCCTGCAAATTTGGCACTTCCATCCTTCTGCATGTTTTAGGCCTTTTCGACACGTATAAGCCGAATTCAAGCTTTCAACCGGATGGAAATGCCGTTTTTCGGCCGTTTATCCAATTTCCAAAAGGCAGCTCGGGCGAGAGTTTCGATAAAAAGTTGGGGGGCCCTGACACGAAAACCCTGCTGCCCGTAATTTGTTTTGGGGTCCCGCGCCAAACATGTAAGCGAAGCCGTTCAAGCCGCGCGGGTTCGAGGGCTAATTTCTCGGTGCGGGGGAACATCGACCAGCCGAACTGGGCCTAGAGGTTAGTGGGGTGAGCAGGAATCCACTACGGCTGTATCCCTCCCCCCTCCCCCCTGGTCGCGGACCTGCCGGACACTGCCTTTATGAAAGCGCTGTGCGATGTGAGAAAAAAGGAAAAGCCTTTTGTAAGCTGTAACCTGGAACGTTTGATCATGGTTTAGGAACGGCATGGGCAGTTGTGAACAGAATAGATTTGTTTGCTGCATCTTCCTTTTTTGATTTTGGGAGCAACATACATTTTTACCGGTTATATATCTCCAGTGGTGGGTATATCCTAGAAAGCTACTTTTAGTGGGAACATCGAGTCACAACTGTAACGATGGAGTTGCTCAAATCTTCAACATGTTCGTAGCCAATCTCTCTTCGAACAAATCGTTCTCCACGTTGCTGATTACCAACAGCATTTGTATCGCGGAAAAGTCGGCGAATCTTGACGATGTGGTATTGATTTAATTAAATCATTCTGTTCATGAGGATACTATAGTGTAAAGGAATTTTTTGCAGCAAAACATCCGGCTGATCACGAAAGAAGAACTTGACGTTGTTTATGACAGCTTAACTGCCTCTCTCATCAGAAGAGGGTATATCAATGCTACCAAAGATCGACAAGTCGTTTACAGTAGTCCTTTCTACCTCAGCAACTTTTCCACAATCTGTAGGTCGGAAATACCATTTGGTGAGGGCCCAATGAAAAATTGTAGGTACCTTTATTGAGTGATATTGTTCAGTTCCATTGCTTCGCTCGGCTCCATTTCGAAGGGCGAAGCATCTTTACATTGCACTTGATGATATGGTGGGCATCTCCATTTGCGCTACGATCAGCGTTGCCGTGTTTGGTTCGATCATTTACCAGTATGTAAAACGGCAGCATAAGAAACAACTGGACATACTCGCCGAGATGATGCTCCAGCCGAGGCTATACAAGTGTGTGATAAAAGTCACTCAATCCATCGCGCTGTCAAAGAATTATTTTATAGAGCTGCGCAAGAGTGTCCAAAAGTGGCGCGACTGCCGTGGGAAATAAAATCTGACAGGGTTCATATTGACAAGGAGTTCATGTTGGGAGAAGGCACAATATCAAATGTGTATTTGGGTAAAGTTGTAACATATTTATTATTTAGAATATTTTATTTACATTATTTAGAACATTATTTAGAAGCTCAGATAGAATCAGTAAACTCACAAAACATCAAAAAGTTTTCAACATGTCTTCGTCAGTTAGTGTTGTGATATACCATATAAAGTACTTTTAGACCCTTTATCGAGCTAAACTATCTGGTTCATGAATCAGATACAAGAGAAATTTGATATAGAAGGAGATGTTTACTGGAAGGATCAGAATGCTTTCGAAACCTCAGCTTTTTTCTTGCATAGGATTTTTGTCATATTTTAATGTTGCTGGCATACCGCTCAAGTTAACATCTCGCGAAATTTCTGAAATTTTTGTGAACCAGACAGAAAATTGAAAGCCGCAGATGGTTCAGGTTGGTTCAGGCAAATTGAAAGGAAAGTCTCCTATACTTCAGTGGATTGGGCGTGTAGAAATGAAGCAATATCAAGATTGCCCTATTGCCGTTAGGGTAAGTACTAGTAGTAATCATAGTGTCCATATTTCAAGCATCACGAAGACGACTGTCAGGTCCCGCGACATTTCGACGAACCAGAAGAGGATCAGCTGTTCAGGGAAATCTCATCGATGAGAAGACTGCGGCATCATGACCATATCGCTTTGTTCTTGGGTATGCATTGAGAAGAATTCTTTCGGTAGCAAAATTTTTAGGTTGGACAAATAAGGACGAATTGGTGTGCAGCCTGCTAGAATTGACTCACATGAATTTGCTCAAGTACCTTGGGCAGATCAATGAAACGTTAGTTCAGTTTTGTTGCGAAGCCAATAAATTAGGTGTCTTACTATATTGTAAACCTATACCTCACAGCCTTTGATTGCCCGTGGTTTCCAAGTTTTTATTGGGGATTACAGAATCCTAGCGAGCGGGGACAACCATTCAACCGCCTATATCCCTTATCAGATGCTCTTCAAAATTATTTGGGAAATCTGCGATGGAATCGTAAGTGAAATTTACATGTTTTCTTTGAGCAGTGTCACAATCTTATACTGAGCAAAGCATAAGTGTCTTTTGCTTTCCAGAACCGAAGTCTCATTCATCTTCGTCGAAATGAAAAAGCTTTATGGATCATTTCGAAAATATCTCTCGATATCGCTCCCTTCTCGAACATGACATCCTTGTTTGGTTGAAATGTAAAACACCAAATGAAACGACCCATATTGCAATATTGATAGCTGGAAGCAAACACCAAATGAAACGACCCGATATTGCATCACTGATAGCTGGAAGCAGCGATGGGAAAGAGCATATTGGAGGAGATGTCAAATAATGGAAAATTACTGTTGTAACGCAACAATGTTAAAGTTCTAACGCTACTGCTGCACTGAGGAGCGATAATTAGAACTGGTTCTAATACTCAAACAAAGCATGCGGAGGGGGAATTGCTATGAAAGAGTCTATTTGTAGGAAGAGAGATTCTAGAGCGCGTGAGAGGTGTAAAATAAGTTGGAAGTCAATGCAACTTTTAGATATATAAACGACGTGACGACCCAATCGTCATCTTGGCGCCTTAGAAGACGAGGATTTACATCACTTCACAGAATTTTTAGAGTTTTTCTTACGTAGCATTGTTGGAAGTCACATAGACCATTACATCTCTCTTGAATCGAATTTTTCTTTCATCAAACAAAGCATTTGCTTGTTATAGCACATCTATTATAGTTCGCGCGCTGATGAGGGAAGGTGTCAGTCGTATGCCGAATTTGAAGCAGGTGTTCTACATGAATTACAATGTCCTTTTCACGTTCAACCAAAAAAAGGACTTTTCTACTAGACCCAGTTTCACACATACAGTGCTGGACATAATTATAAAGCCACGCAAAAGTTTTGTCAGTTTATTCAATCCATTGGCAAGCACGCTAGATTGAAGATAAACAAACACTTCAAGAAGTATCCGATGCAGAATTTTTTCCCCTTTCCAGCTGCTAAATTCCCGTTGTGTTTCGTTGAGAGAATGACGAGATATTTACCGGAAATTACAACCACTCGTTTTGACCATGTCCAACTTTCACTAATTTTCAAAATTTTTGTATGAGATTTTCGGAGGAGCCCTAATAACCACCAGATAGGGCAAAGTTTTTGCCAACAGAAGCAATTTTTTGTGGCCCTATATTTCTCAATTTCATGAGGCGCACTGACGTAACCTATGTTTCAAATCATAATTCAAAGCGAAAATCGCTCATTTACTTTGTAATGGTAGCGGTAGTAATAATCGAGTGTTGAAAACTGATCATACTGTGGTTTTGCAGTGTTTGGTGCAATAACAGGTTATGCGATTTTTCCAGAACATAAGACTTTTAGAAAATTATTTAGCAAAAATCTGAAAAAGCAGCTAAAAAAAAGAAAAAAATTGCTTCTGTTGGCAAAGGAGGTTATTAGGGCTCCTCCGAAAATCTCATACAAAAATTTTGAAAATTAGTGAAAGTTAGACATGGTGAAAACGAATGGTTGTAATTTCCGACAAATATCTCGTCATTTTCTCAACGAAACACAACGGGAGTTCAGCAGCTGGAAAGACGAAGAAATTCTGCATCGGATACTTCTTGAAGTGTTTGTTTATCTTCAATCTAGCGTGCTTGCCAATGGATTGAATAAACTGACAAAACTTTTGCACCAAGAGTGGCTTTATAATTATGTCCAGCACTGTATACATATACCAGTGCGTCACCTCTGCTTCGCAGAGGCTCGCACTGGCCCTTACTTTCTTTACGCTTCACTCATTCCCGCACAATAGTGACATTGAAACTCACCGCGCTATGCCGACTATCACGCATATTTTGTAAACAACTATTCATTCTAAAAGCTTTTCCATATGAGATAGGTTGTTTCGCGTGAATGAAACTTCTCCCAAAAGAACAAATGCTGATTTGAATGGTTTTTGGAGTTTTCATGGCTTGCTATTCGCCATAAGATACAATATCACCGTGGGCTACATCTCTGTGCAAAAATCTCTTCAAATGATCGGGTAAAATCTTGGCAAAGTGAACACTTACGCAACCAATTCTTTTTGCCCCGTTCTCGCAAAGTAATAAACTTTAGTTCAGTTTTCTAAGCTATACTCCATCTTTTGCACATTAACTTGTCAAACATTCCCGTGACCTTGCAAAAAGTTGTGCTACAGGCTCAATTTTATGGCCAAAAGCCAAGTAGATCCGATTGACGCGCATTTTTTGAGGGATCCACATAACGGATCCGCTCGTGCTTTTGTACAGTGAATTATCATGTAAATAGCACGCAGTGCAAAATTTAGGCTCAAGAAATTCGCTGTAACTCGCTCCATGATTTTCGTGACAGACAGAGATTCAGACACACACACAAACGTAAACAACCCTTAGCCCGTTATTATAAGTTACTAGATGGCATCCCCGGTCCTGTTCCGGGAAGCGGGCTCTAATGCCCGGTAAAAAGCATTAGAATCCAAAAGTGTCATTCACCTTCCTTATCCATATCTGAAGAAGCGCTTCCGCGACATATCCCGCTGACTCGAAGAACCGGATCCTCCTCGCCGCAAAACGTAAATGATCTTTACCGCCCCGCTTACCCAACTATGATCCAGGAATGATTGATAAGTTTATTCCCTTACATGTGAGTAAGCAAATCAATAAATCGATAGAAGGACCCAGTGAATCGTCGCAAAAAGTAGCCTATCTTCTGCGCCTGGCCTCATTAATAGGGAAGCAAATTTAGCCTCATCGGTTCACAAACAAAGGAGTCTATAAGCCACATACTTACATACGAACAAATTTACAGAGATTGAGTTTCATTTATATATAGATGATAAGTTAAAATTCAGGCATACATTCATTCTCGCAATCTTGTTCATCGCGACGTCGCGGCAAGAAATGTCCTGCTTACAACTGGACTGAGAGCGAAGGTGAGCAGTAATCCTTTAACAATAAAGCAAACGGACTTTTCAGATCTCCGGTTTCGGTTTCTGCTCTGATCCAGACGACTCCAAGTTTTGCGGAAATTCACTAGCCTTGCGATATTTACCAGTCAGATGGCTTGCACCTGAGTGTTTCCATGGAAAATTCTCGTTCAAAAGTGATACGTGAGTGCTAGTTTGCCCTGGGAAGCAGCAAATAAGTTTACTAAATGCTTTCACATCGAAACGCAACCGTGTAAGGCAAAGGTGCATTCAACTCTAGTCATTATTTGAATTCGTAATATTTATTATGACCAAATGACGAGTAATACGTACAGGCATAGTCGGGGACATGCGTCAAAAAGGAGAAGTTGAAGACCTTAGAAAACCGAAACGGCCTTTGCAGTCATCAGTAGTGCAGGAAAGAAAATCAGAGAGTATTTGGTGACAGGAAAAACAAATGCTAACCAATTTCCATTTCTTTGTAGTAGCTAAGATTCTAAAAAGCAAATCCAGTTGCCAGTCATATTCGACGCGAATGTTCAGAAAAGGGTATTCAGTAAATGAATGCAAATTGCCGCGTAGCGGCTCAGTATTTCGCGATAAAGATATGATAAGGTTAGGTATAAGCTCCTGCAAGACGAAGGCGGTCGGTTCGAGTTACGACGTGGCTGTGACGCAGCCATGTCGCAGCCGCGTTGCGCATCGAATCGACCGCCTTCGTCTTGCAGGAGCTTATGAACTAGCTGTTCACCGTAATTGTAAAATGATTGTAGGACGATTCTTTGACGTTTAGTATATAAATGCTAATCAAAGTGATTTGATTCAAATAAGTTACAACATCAAAAAAAACTGAAACTTAGATGGCTCTTGTCAATTGATATTAGTTTGATTATACTCTTTAGATGGTCATTCGGAGTACTCCTTTACGAAATCTTCACTCTTGGGGATGCCCCTTACGAAGATCTAGAAAAGGCTGACGAAATAGTGGAATGCGTCCGTCGCTCCAGAATTCCGGCTCATCCAAAGTATGCCTCTCGAAAAATGTAAGTTAAAATAGCCAGTTATGGACATTATTTCCGTAAAATACACTTTTCATAGCTTGCAGGTATAGGTACTGTAGGCTACAACTGTCAGTCCACCCAATCTAAACGGACGCATATAACAAAGCTGTTTTGTCACCCTCCTACACTTTGATAATGCATGTGCGCTGACATAGTATGATCCTCTCTTAATCAGTAAGCTCACCGCGCTGCATCTAGTATCAGAGAGGGAGGCTTAGGACGCATCCAAGCCACAAGTCACGAGGGCAAGATGGACATCCTCGTATGTGAGGCGCGATGTAACGAGACATTCGGTGACTTTGTGCCGACAAAGTGCCCGTACTGAGCCTACAATACAGCCGATAATAAAGGAAGCAGCGGTGCTAATCGTAGAACATACTATAAGACCCTTTCGCAAGCATTGCCTAGATCGAGCAGTGTAATCTTTGATTCAACTGGATTGGCGGCTGAAGAGGCGGGGCTTTGGCCTAATTAAGGCCACTCGCGCCCGTGACGCAGTCTGCGTTTCTCTCGCGCGCGTGCTTTGCGATCATTCTCCACCCTTATTGGATCACGAAGTCCCGCCTTCCAGCCGCCAATCCAGTTGGATCAAAGGGTACGCTGCGTACGCGCCGCATATGCTGAGCATGCTAAGACTGCCAGCACAATGATAGGACCACTGCACTTTTTTGCGAATCCACTTACGAATGAGCCCATATCATGTGCAGTTATACAGTCTTTTTCAACCAGGGAGGCGAAACATTCCAAGTGGAACAGCGCGTCCGCACCGCCACTGGCTTTGCGAGATCGGTTAGAATGAAGAGACGCAGATTGCAAAGAGGGTGAATCATTGTGAAGCGGACTCCGACCAGTCCAATTTCCGCCCAAACTGAGTAACTAACTATAGAAATGAAGAATGTGCTTACCAATGATGTAAAAGATCAGAACGCATCACAGTATGCCAAAAGGTAACCAAAAGTCAACTAACTCACACTAATAAGTAGGGCGTAGGGCGAAATTACGGAAATAGAGGGCATGATGAATCCTGAGAAAGCTCTTAAGCATTACAAAGCACTTACTCGTACCTATGGCACAAACGAAGAAAAATCTGATCGTTCTGCTCAACCTCAACCGATGCAGGCATTAATGCCGCCTATTTTCGCCTATTTTGAATATCACGTTCTGTGTTTGGACATGCTCCTCGTTGAGTAGCGCCTACAAATCACTTATAAGCCAAAACCCATGCAGATAACGTTGGTGATATCGCCAAAGATCTTGATAGTCCCGTTCATACTTACGCATGAGGACATTTCTGTTTATAGAGTAAATAATTTGAAGATATTCAGGTAAAAGTGTGCAACGTGCTTCTTTTAGCGCAGCAAGTTCAGAATTTCTATACTTCTGAAGAATTTGTATTGGTAGTGAACAAAGATGTGCTCCGCTACCGATTGCTCGGTTCCTCTCTTCTCATTTCATAATGCAGTTGATGTCATAGCACTCGTGCGTGCATCAGCCTAGACGGTGTTCTGCCATATCATACATATAGCGTGATGTCAAGTAAGGTGCACAATCATGATCAAAGTAGTTTTTTTGTAAAAGTTGCAAGTAAAGAGTGTAAGCTTGACGCACCATTTGGCTATTAAGTGTAAGCCATTACAACAGTAAAAAAACTTTATGGTATAGTACTTTGCCAAGAGTGATGAGATGACTAAGGAAAAAATAAAGAGCAAAGAAATTGGCGTCTCCAGTAATTTTGGTATATATGCAGTGAGTTTATATTCCGATAAGTGAGGGGGTCAGACTTACCGAATGACTGCGCAATCCTCAGATTATTCTGGACCAGTCACCGCCTCGGAGGAGAAAGCTTGGTTGGCTTAGGGCAAAGATCAAATTTTTATTCTCGCTGGTGGTATGCCCATGCCATTAAATCACCGCTTCGAATGAAAACTCTGCAAAAATATCACATTTCAGATACAAAATCATGCAACAGTGTTTCCATCACTATCCGGAAAGAAGACCAGACTTCAGTCATCTGATGGACGTATTTCACTCGGAGATGGAAGCTCTGTTTGTCAATGTGGCTTTCGAAGTCGATGAGCAGAGTTAATCTATCCCATGCCGTAACTCGGATCTCGTGTACATCATAGTCTTTTGCCCATCGTTCTAAAAGAGAAAATAAGGTTCACTATTCTCCTCTTCCTCCCCTCTCTTAGACGGGGTTTTTTAATTTCTAGGCCCTCTCCGGAACGCCGAGAGGGTGTAAAACTCGTCTCAGCCTTTAAAAATTTCTCAAACTTCTCTTTGGATGATTGTCAAGACAATTGCACAGCAGGTCAAGATTAAACTTGTCTACGCCGGCTTGTTTCCATTGCGGTATCAATTACGATGAATATATCATTTGTAATCAGTGGCGTATCCGGGATTTCCGTTTGAGGGGGGGGGGATAAAAGATTTTTCTGAGGAAGGTGCGTGGCGTCAGATATGCACCTAAAAGCGGGCGTATAGCCCACAAATTTTGAGAAAAGGGGGCGTGGCGTCGGCTACGCTTCCGGAAAAATTTTTGAAGGCTAAGTTGAATTTTCTGAAAATTTTTGATTATTTTAATTATTTACAAGTATAAACAAGTTACTTGCACATTTTTATAACTCATGTAGGTAACTTTCAAAAAAAAATGCGACCCATTCACGGGAGGGGGGGAGGGGGGAGGTCCCCTTCCTTTCGGTACGCCACTGTTTGTAATAGGTCTTTATTACATCTCGGTTGGTGTGGGCATCTGCCAAACCTATGAAGAATTGCATTCGAACAATTGTATTCAATTAGAATAATTGGGTTTTTATGTCATTTTAACATAGATGATGCTATTGTATGATTATCATATTCATTTGCTAAGACACATTTTTGAGATGTGGAATTTTTAGCGTAAAATCAGTAGAATGCGTACAGGTTCGTGTTACTTTTGGAGTTTCTGTGTAGTTGCTCTGATATATACCAGATACTGGATGTAGAACGTACGAGTAAAACCTAAAATATTGGTAACTAATCTTAGAATGAAGTAATCAGTTTTTTTATATACTTTTGTTAATAACTTGTTGTTTAAGTCTATACCTTTCCAGATGATGGCCAAGCGTATCCCCTCGTTGAAGTTTCAGTTGCGAAGTCACGAAATCATTGGGCTTGGCACGTGCTGTCATCTAAAAATTTCGGAAAAACTCTATCAAGTGGAAAAAATTACAACATGCCTCTAAAACTACTTAGACCTATCGCTTTGAAGCAATCCGCAGTTAAGATAAGCGGGACACCATGCGAGAAGTAGGAAATTTGTTGGCCAATTGCCGTAAGATAGTCCAATGGCCCAGTGGGCGAGCCACAGCTAGCCTTGTACGCATACCGTCCGAACATTATGGAGTGTGTAATCTGCGACTAAGGCCCTCTGCAGACAGAGGTCTCATTCACATAATTTCATTGAATCTTTCGCACATAGTCCAAAGCCCCGCTTCTGCATACACCTACCAACTTTGGTCTTATACAGTTTGCTTTTCGTCTCAGAGACCCATTCTAGTTATTAAATAGCTTGAAACCTCGCTCGGATTTTTTCCAAATGTTCCGGCTTTATGGTGGAGGTGGTACTGCAAAGAAGTTTATCTAGCTTAATTGAGCACAAGTACACTTCAAGTGTATTGAATGACGAGTGTTTGCTGTGATAATCCGACTCCAGCTCACATGCAAATGGAGATGCTGATTTATTGGCAATCTCCGTCGTCCGATAGCTGCGAGAGAGCGACATAAAAAACTCTACAAAAGACTTTCAGAACCTTTCTATAGTTTTCTACACACCCCTCAGGCAGCTGGCAGTACATCATAATAGTGTTTGACGATTTTGACGATCTTTCACCAATCCCTTGTTTTCTCGCTAAATAAATAACTTCCTCTGGGGTTTCACGTTCCTACTTTCGTACATCCACTGCATAGCTTCCTCCAAAACGTAGTCCTTGTCAACAACTTGAAGAACTTTCAGAAAACATTGAGATTCGAGTGCTTGTTAGATCTGGATTCGGGAACTAAAACCTTTCGAGCGTCTGAAGAATTTGAAGTGGAAACTTACACATGCTTTGCAGTAAGAGGAGCGTGTTTTTACAATCCACCTCAACGAGTTCCTACTTCCGCCAGAGATTCTCCGAAACTCTCTATAAGTCTCGTATTCTTTTCACTGACTGTCACTATCTTCTTCATGTAAGAACTTCTGTATTAGTTTGAAGGAATTTTTTTGTGCAAAATAGGAAAGAAAAAGTCAAAATAAGAAAACCACACTAGAGTAGGTATAGTGTAGTGCTATGAAGATATCAATTTCAAAAAGCGAGGATTGTGTCAAAAATCAAGCGCTCAAATGTAATGGTATTCGTAGCTCACCAGTAATGCTATAGTAACTCACTATATTGGCTGTCTTAGGATTTCCGTTGGAGAAGGGGGAGTGAAGGTGCGTGGCACTAGCCACTCCGAAAAGTTTTCTGGGATGCTTCACGGAATTTTTGAGGGCTCCCAATCTCAAAATCTCAGAAAAGGGAGCGTGACGGCAGCCAGACCCACGAAGAACTTTTTTACGGCTGATCTGTACATTTAAAGATTTCAGAAATTCATCTAATTATTTACAAGTATGAGAAGATTACTTTCTTTATTTAAACACGTCCAAAGGAGCTTAAATGCACTATGCATTTTCGTATTTGAAATCTGCGTCTCATCGCGGACATCTTGAAAAATGTGCAAATGCATATAAATGTTAGCACACAAACCTTCCAATTCTATCTCACAACGAATTAAACTAATATCACGTTAAATTAATTAAAAGAAGAACAGTCTTAAAACTTAAATTTTCTCCTTTTTTAACTTAATAAACTGTGGTGAGCTCATGTACGAGTGTACAAAGAATTTTGTTGCAGCATGTTAATTTAGGGAGAAGATTTTTGTCCGCAAAAAGTGGGTCATCTTACATGATTTGTAAGGATATATGCAAACAAAAAAGGTGGGCCAACAGACGGATAGATGGAAAGCAGTTGTGTAGTTATGTATCAAAACGCGTGCATTAAGCCTGCAAGAATTGCTAGATCTAACATGGTTCCTCAAGACGAGATATTGGAGAAGGCACAAAACTGGAATTAGCGTAACTCGTATATTAAGCAAAGAGTTACACACAGGCAATGCAGCCGTGGAAGCACTTACTAAAATCTTGGTATTCAAATGGTCGTTTTTTGGTCAACAGTTCACTACGTCTCAAAAAATGCTGAGTAGCATGTCCAAATTCATTGACAACTCTCTTTCGCGTAAACTGCGTGCTAGTTTCACACTATTTTTGATGATTGTGTGCAGAAAATGTTTTGGTAATCGTCTACACAGATTTCATTAATTATCCATAGGCGGGCTACTATTAGGACATGAATCAGATGCAAATATGGTGACGTTTCTCATCAACACCTACTCACTGATGATTACGGTATTAATCTACGATAGGAACTAGCAGGCGGGAACGGATGATGACTTAACCTGCTTGCAGATGTTGACGCAGATTCTAATACATGAATGCATAGCATAAATGCGTCATAGCTTATCAGAATGCGTGGCAGCCAGCATGAGGCCTTGTTATACTGCATCCCGTCAGCTTCTGATTCTAAAGCTTAGTCTGCAAAATTTGACCACAACTTCGTGGATGAAACGGACTTTTAAACTTATTCTTTCGTTTGACTCATGTCTACTATCAGAACTGTTTCAATCCATCCACATACCTATGCTGTCTTTGCTTACCAGCAGCTGCCGCTTTGAAACTACTCGTATTTTTGCTCCTCCTTATTTTTGCCTCAAATCCCGTTTCGACACCTCGGCGACAACATGATTCACATGGTGGGTCCTCAATGACTGCCACGTGGGACAATGTGCCCCACCCCCATGTAGATTATAGTTTGAATGTCAAGTGGCTTTTATTCTGTACTAAATTCACACCAGAGGTTTTTTTACGCGCTGGTTCTGCAAAAAGCTATCATGTTTCTGGACAGCCTCTGAAAGCTACGGTAATACCGTAAATGACTGTATGCCTGATTTTGACTAGAAAATTAGCAACTTTCCCGTAAAAGGCTTTCGTCTTACAGGGCAGATAAAAGTGTGCGCGTTTTAGTCAACATGTTGATTTCAAGCGAGTGGCATACACTACGTATGTATTGCTCTAAATGTGACAATTGATATGGCTATCGCAGTGGCGTACCGAGAGGGGTGGGTGGCGCCCCCCCGAGAATGGGTCGCGAAATTTTTGAAAGTTACTTAAATGTGTTATAAAATGTGCCAGAGGACTCGTTTTTATTTGTAAATAATTAAAATATTTTTTAAAAATTTTTAAAGATTCAAATTAGCCTTATAAAAAATGTCGGGGGGGGGGGGAGGGGTGGCTACCGCCACGCCCCCTTTTCTGAAATTTTGGGGTCAGGGGCCCGGAAAAATTTTTGGAAACATCCCAAAAAAATTTTCGGAGTGCGTGGCTGACGCCACGCACCCTCATTAGAAAAAATTTTTTGTCGCGCCCTCCCCCCCCCCCCCCGAGCCGAAATCCTGGGTACGCCACTGGGCTATCGGCTGGCCGGGTTTGCTACAGTACATACGTCCCCCATATATTTCACCAGTTGGGTCGCGAACCTAGAGTAATCTGTTCTTTCATTGAATTTTGCAGCAACTTCTATTTATCAAAAACTGAATAACCATTCAAATTTAAAATAAATTATATCAGTAAAATTTTGACTGACACTCCCTTTCTTGGCACAACTTGAACTTTTTAAGAGTCGTGGGTACATTGAACGCTTCTAAGGATAATTCTTTCCAACACCACACAGCAGTACAAAGCTCTGCAAAGTCGAGCCGCTTTCTTAAGAATTCCTAAATAAACAATGCTCCTGCATAGCTCGAATACTCCCGAACAAGCACCTAGTTATACAAAATGACTCAATGGGGTTATGACATTATGGCGCAAAAAAGTTTCCTACCATGACGTAATTTACTAAAACCTGAACAAAGGTCTAGACCTGGTAATTGCTCTCCATGAGTCTTTTGAAGGCAAAAATATCTCGTAAGCCA